CAGGATTTGAGCATCTCTCTTCTCCTTAAATAAACCTCATTCAAAACAGACAGATCTGAGAAACATACTATATAGTCAAGCAAGTGTGCATATTTTGTGCATACTTTAAGAAGCAGCGGTGACAACTACAGTTGTCATTCCACCTTATTCATTAATTGAATCTCAGAGCATGTTGAGTGCAGTTTGAGACATGCTAGAGGCTCCAAAATAGTAAATATACAAACCATCAGTTAATCATACCTGGTTGAGAGATCCAGAGTAAGGGCATATTCGCAGAGAAATCACTTTTCCAGTCAGGGCAAACACTGGCCATTCTGCAGGTTTGGAGATGCAATAAAACTTTCAATTTGTAAAATGAAGGCAAGTGAAATCATGCGGATTTCCAGGAGTTTACCAAGTTTGCTTTGTGGCACATCCACCCTGCAATTGTTCAGATACCCCTATTAACCATTTAAAAGCGCTCATTAGTCTTCAAACAGTTATTTGGACTTCAGAGTGGACTCCACAAGTATCTTGTAGCTATTTGCTGCTCTTTAGAAGGGCAGCTTGTCCAAATAGCAACAGCCCTTGACGTTTCATTCTTGCATGCCATCCTTTATGTCAGTGTTTCCTTGCAGTAAGGAAGCCTTCAGAGATGCATGCGCTGTTAAAATTTATGGATTCATGTGAGGTCACCCATAGTAAATGCCTGTACTTTACATCATGTAAGTAACAGCAAAATACATTCTTGCAAAATACACTTGAGCACAACCTGTTCACTCAGTGTTGTAGGAAGTCCCTGCAACATCTGTAGAATTTAATACTGTTCTTAGCTTTGTAGATTGGGAAATCTTAAATCTTTTAAAGTCATCAACAAAATGTGTAGGTAAAACTTATAAAATGTTAATTTAAAGATTTCAGGGGGGAGGCTTCCTCCTCAAAATGGAAATCTTATTTTTTCTTGTGTGCTTTTTGGGTACTTCATAGACAGTATATCAGTTCAGGGTATCTGTGCATCACACCAAGGTCTGAATAATTCCTGACTGTGTTTATGTGTCTGTATCAGTTAAAGGTGGATAAATTTTAGAAGTGGTTTATAAAATAGGTTGTGTGTGGGCAGGGTTCTTACTGTAAGTATAAATTAAGTTACCTGCCTAAGTATTTGCTATGATAATCCTTTATTTATTCATTTATTTATTGTAGACCCTACATAATTGTCAAGAAGCAAAAACCTGCGGTTACAAACAAGCATATGGAAGAACTGGCTCAGGGCTACAGGTACACAATTCAAGTAGACCATATTCATCATCACATCTATCTGTAAATACTGTGTGGAAATACTTCAGTCAGTCAGTATTTCACAGTCTTGGGGTTAGCTATGTAGAGAAGTCTACTCTCCTGTATAAATTAACAATTGGTGTATTGGAGGCTTTCTGTTTAAAGTCGAATTAAGTCTCATCTTCTTTTGTTACTGCCATGAAATTTGATTATTATATAGAATAAATATGTCTCTTAGCCTGAGAAGTGGAAGGCCTGAGAACAGTATCATCCTTCTCCCGATAGAAAAATCAAACACTTTAAAGAAATATCAACTTGACTGCCCTAAACTAGGCACATTCAGCATTAGTTTTGAAACTACTTGCAAATTCTTAGTTTGTGTGTTTAAAAAAACACACTTACATGAAAGCATTTAAATTTAACTTCAATTATTAGATTTTGCAAAACCATCACAAAGGCTTACTAGATTACCCTTATACTTGCCTACATTTATAAAGATGATGAGCACATGCAGAATGATTTTATTTAGTTGTTCAAATAACTAACATTAGTGAGACTGTGTGAAGCACAAAAAAACAGTTTTCTTTAAATATGTAAAATGCACAAAACTTTTATTGTAAAAGTATTTCTCTAGTTTAACTTCTCAAAATTACATTCCTTTAGTATATGTATTATGTAGCTTTATTTTTGCAGAAAAATAATAAAAGGCAGTACTTCCAGTGTAATTTTTTTATTTAACTGTAGGAATTTTGAAGACTTCTTGCATGAAGGCCTTGTTGAATATTTGGATGTGAATGAAGAAAATGACTGTAACATTGCACTATATGAACATACAATTAATAAGTAAGTATGCATTCAGACTACACACTGGTACAAGAAAAACTTTGATAGGGTGACTCTGAAATGCAAGTATATTAATAACGTTACTGTTTCACACACACTGCTCCCTTGCTAATGGTTGAAACAACTCCAGATGAAAGCTAAAGAAATCTTTTTACACACGTCCTAAATTATCCATAGGATAATTACAAAGAGTGGTTTAGCTTTTGGGTTTTGGGAGATCTGTTCCTGTTTCTAACTCTCAAAAATAGTAAATACTTAAAGGTATAGTTTTTGCTTCCCTGCATGTGGCTTTTTTTGTTCTAATCATTGGGCTGCTCATCATAACTAATTTTATGCAGTAGGAATCCAGAAAGCAAACAGGCTCTACCTGTTAAATGATGATGTCATGATTGTCATTCGGAAAAATCTCTCTCTGAGATATTGCAACCAGCTAGACAACTAGCTTATACTAAATGTTTGAAGTATTAGACTGAGACCTTCCCTTTGACTTTTGGATCTGTAATAAGCCCTGATAAAAATGTCTGTATCATTCTGTGTGTGTGTTACCACGTATGTTAAACCCGTTCTTGGTATATGATTTTCATTTACAAAGACTTGAGATTTTTTGTCTTTTCCACATATATGAAGGACTTAGTGCTTTGTTTGTTTTTTTTTTCTCTGTCTTGTGACCGTGATTAAAAAGCCCACATTAAAGGAAGGATTCTTCTAAATGTTTAAGTCCTCCTATCTTTATACTTTTTTTGAATGTTTCTGTGATATTATCCTTTCAACTGAAAGCTGCATAGAAGATGCTACAAATCATCTCCGTGAAAGGTTTGAGCAGTAGATTTATGCAGAAGATGCATTTTCTAAATGTTCTGTCCTGATCAAGTACTCATGGAAGCCAATAGAATACATCATTGATTTCAGCAGAGCTGGATGAGACCTTCAGTTATCTTTAACCTTTGCCAGATGAAATGCATTAACTCTGCTAATTAAATTGTATTGCTCCTGCCCAGGCTTTTGAAGACTTTATCACTTCAATAAATTACACTTACATGCTCTTTTCTGGCTTCTGTATGCATGAGCAAAGAAGAGCACACACAATTGCTGTCATTTGTGCCAAAATTAAATAACTTCCACAAAGCACCAGAACTGAAAAGTTCAAGTTACAAGACACCTGACTCGGAAAGATTAATGGGAGCATATCACATGAAATCACTGTTTCGTTAAAAAATAGGAGCAGACAGTGAAATTCCAATGGACTAGTGTGAGGAAATGACTCCATGATAACTGCCAAAAAGTTTGGGAGATTCTTGTGCTGTCCATCAACTTGTTTTGAGTTTAGCTTCAATGCTTGTAGCCAGTAGTGCCATAAGTATCTGAGGCTGCACATTATAAGAACGTTGCTCCTTGTGTTTAGTAATGGTGTTCCCTACATCCTGAATAGTTGGTTTGTGTACCTCCTTCCCTCAGCTGATGATCTTGCATTTTAAATAGTGCAACCATGTTGGTACAACTTGTTCTGGTAATACAACTGATACAA